TTTGTTCCCAAATGTCCTGTCACCTGTTTAAAGCTAAAGCAAAATACTTCTCACCACTGCCCTCTTCCACTTCTCTGAAGTAACCAACCACTGTAAAGAGAAACGGTGTGCACCTTCCAGATCTTTCCCTCTGCAGTTGTCTGGGCAAATTGAAATAGAGCCCCAACTATCCTCTTCCCTCCCCAATCCAGGGGTTTGCCTTACCCAAGGGGGTGGGCACAGTCTCGTGGTTATTTCTCAGCCATCAGCTGACTGCAATGGAGCTCATTTCTCATGCCCAGGACCTTTGTGCAGCTGCCTGAAACATCCTACAGTATTTGCCAGGGACCCTGGGGACTGCAGGGGGTGGAGAGGCAGGACATGGGGTGTTTAGAGTAGTGAAACTACTCTGCATGATACTGAAATGGAGGATGCATGTCATTATAAATTCACATAGCATGTATACCAACCCGGTAGCATGTATACCAACAAGAGTGAACCCTAATGTACGCTAAGGGTTCAGTGTAGGTTCCTTGGTTGTAACAAAGCACCTCTCTGGTGGGATGCTTATAAGGAGGGGAGTGCTGTGCATGTGGGGGAGCAGAGGGGTCTCTGAGGAAATCTCTGTTCCTTCCCTTGAATTGCGTGATCCTGAAACAGCTCTGCATGTCTCTGGGTGTGGCCTCCTGTGGACCTGAGAACCCTTTCTCCCCTGTGGCATGTGTGGAAGTGGGGTTCTGTAGTCCTCCCTAAGTCTGCAAGAGCTTGGCATCCACCTCTTTGAAGCTGGGAGCTGCCCAGTGCCTATGACTGGGCTGGAACATGGAGCTGGAGGCTATTTTGAGCAAGCTCACTCCTGCTGCCACACCCTGAGCCAGGGTGAGAGGCAGACACCTGAGTCCGCTCTTTTTATGTAACAGCTTCATTGCGACATAATTCACCTAGGACACCATCCGCCCTTTGAAAGTGTTGTTCGTCTGTTCAGTGTGGCACAGTCTTGGACAGCCATCACTACTACCAATTTTGGTTTTTGTTCATCAAAATCTTATTGATTTGCCATTGGTGTACAAAAAATAGATATGTTTGGCAATACACCTTTACACTTCAACATGTATCCATGCTTAACTGCCTCCCCCAAAGTTCCTGCACCCATATCCTCTCCCCTAACCCTTTCTATGCCTCCTCCTTTTTTATTGCCAAATAATATTCCCCTGTGTGACTATATCACTTAATTATCCGTTCTTCCATTAATGGGCATTTGGTTGTTTTCACCTTCTGGCTAATGCAGCTA